TTTTGTCCACATGCACATGCGTGTAAGTGTGCATGTGCCTCAGGTATCAGAGCCCTAAGATGTGTCCCCCCCCCTCCCCCCCCCTTTATCTGTGGGAGTACAATTTGCAATTTTGGTGCTTTTCAGAAGAAATGGCACGGTGCAGTAGTTGGTGATGTGGAGGCACTGGTATCATTTTCTGATGCACTAAATTCTGGAGCATCCTTGTGCAAGCACATTGATTAAATGCAATGGCCACTCTTAAATAGCGGGTTTGGTGGGATGGGGATCAGTCACCATTTTGGTGGGGTTTAAGCTGTGAATTAAACAGAAGGCAGAGACATGACACTAGCAGCATTAATACTCGCTGCATAACTTCAGCCCTGCTCATAACAATTTTGTAAACTTTTTAAATGCTGCCCAGTAAGCATGACTTTTCAAATACTCCGAATATGTCGGTCTGGTTTCTCTTTTGCAGTGTAACAGTATTTTTTTTAAATTTTTCTGCAATGCTGCAAAATGGCTTTCCATTATTTAATTAGCTTAATAACAGGCATCTATGTATAGAATTTGGCAAATGAAATTTCCGAAGACTGTGGATGGTAAAATGTATTTTTCCCCAAAGTACTTGCTCGTTATGGATTATTTGCATCATTGCTGTGGCACAGTCTAGTTACTGAGGTACCAGCTTTTGATTTTGATCTGGTACTTCACAGTTGCCGTTCTTGTGATTTTTCAAGGGACGTCCATCTATTCCATACCTGGTTTTTAAAAGCTAAAAGTAACACGTGTACTAGTCCTTCCAGCTACAAACTGGTAATCCTTCTGAGCATGAACTTGCCTGCTTCCCTGCTGGGGAAGGGTAGCTACCACCAGAGTTGAGAAGAAAAGCAAACTGCCTCTCTTCAGAGCAATGCAGTGGTCCCAGAGATGAAGCGATCTTTCAGGTAGCAAAACAATTTCATTTATATAGGATTACCTCAATGAGAACGAATGTCCAGCTGCTCTCACGTGAATGCTGCAGCTTGCTTTCCTCCAGGTGATTTCCTGTTTCCCTGTTCGATGCTTCACCTCTACCTGTTCATCGCAACATTGTCTATCTTCCATCTCCCCACTGGGGAAGCTTACACCTTCTGCCACTATGTAAAGGAGAAGTTTAAGCATACAGGCATTTTTTGGGCATGAACATGAGACCGCACGGCCTCTTCCAATTCCACTGTATATGTGCTTTTCCCTCGGCTCCCCAGGCTGACAGAGTCATATTCTAGGAGGATTTAAAAGTGAGTTTTGATTGAGGTGCTTTTCAGGGTTCTTTGAAGTCCTAGAATGTCCATTTGAAAGCAAAATACTTGGGTATCCTTAGGACTTAAGGTTCGAACAATTTCTGGCTTGAATATGTTAAAAAGGATGAACGAAACGTGGCTTTTTTTTCCCCCTCTCATATGCAAAGGCATCTTCTCCTTTATTTGGGATCATATGATTTAAAATTTTTTTCAGTTAATGCATTGTTTTACTATGTTTCAGTCTGCTCTCCTGTATTTAAATCATCCTTCTATTTACTGTCGAGCAGGATGACAAAAATAACTGTGGTCTTGTAGTGAATCAGTGGAATTTTCCTGCATTTCTCCCCTGATGACTTGGCTGACTCGCAGAGAGCCTAAATGCTTTTGCATTTTTGCTTGCAAGAATGAGGTGGTTTCCCTCCTGGATTCCTGTATTTTTCCCTATCTTTAAGGCTTACTGGGATTTGGGTTTGTTTACTACACAAACGGTAGCTACAGCATTGTGTATCAGGTCATAGATCACTGAAATTAATGTTGCTGCATGCCTGATATTGAGGGTGGGTTAAAAAAAAACCCCATGGCCTCGTGACACCTGATTTAAATGTCTATATTTGGACTAAAGGGTTCCAGATCTCCTCTGGGAGTGCATTGGCAATTATGTTTGGTTATTGCTTTTGTAGCTGTTGGTTTCTTCGCTTTCTTTAATGCAGAAATATTTTTTTTTTCCCCACCGGCCCTCTTCCTTCTCTCTTTTTTTGGCACAGGAAAGTCATCATTGCTTGTTAACGTTGAAGAGTGCTGGTTGTTTTTAAAACCTCACATTGTCCCCAATTACTGCAGTTTTGCATCCTCAGATAAAATACCTATTATGCGAGGAGTCATAAAGATATGCTGTAACAGCTCATCCTCCCATCCCCCCCTTCTCCTTCAGTTATCAACAGTGCGTCAGTGGAAATTTCCACCCTTTGCTAATGTGAGAGAAAGCACAAAGTTGCAAAGCAGCCTTTGGAGAAGAAAAAAAAACAACCACCACTATTGCCGTTTTAGGAACACAATGAAAAGCAGCATACGACGTGCAAGCAGAAATGAAATTGAATTCTCGAGAAGTGGTGGGACTGAAACGGTGCCGCAAAGAGCAGGGTCTGCAATACGAACGAATGCTCTTGCTAAGGGAAGGGGGTATGAAAGTGGCGGTGGATCACCAGCTAGAATTTCTCCCCCCTCATCCTCCTTTCTGTTAGTTGCAACTGTGAGAGGATTTGGAAGGCGTCCTCCCAAGGAGAAGAGTTAAGTGTCATCTGTTAAATTTACCAGTGGCTTTTAATGGCTTTAACAGATAATACGACTTTCCCTTTTTAAGGGGTGCGCGTCCTTCAGATGTTGCTGTGCAGCACTTCTAACGAATTGTCCAAGCTTAAAAATTGTTTCTCTCCCTAAACTTTTAACCGGGTGGTATCTCTTAATTCTGGAGACCAGAAAACGGTAGGTAGGTCAGTTAATATGTTAAGCCGAATCCTGTTCCCCATTGAAGCCTGTGAGGACTAGCGAGGAGGACTGAGCCCACCGGAGTTCCTCCGTGTCCTCATTGAGGCAAGTTATTCCTGTAGCACTCAGTAGCCCTACTGCAGTCAGAGGAGCAGCACCTTCGCTGACGTGACCTGGCGCTGGTCCCTTGGCTTCAGTGACGCTTGACCACAGCCTGCACCAGCTGGGCATCTCTTCTGGAGGACTCGTCGCTTCAGTGCGGGGTGCAGGGAGATTTTTTCCATTCAGTGCTTCAGTCTGGTCTTTCTGAAACAGACTTCAGAGCCGAATTGTGGCTATTAAGGTTTTCAGGATAAGGATGTCTGCCTAAGGAGAAGTTTCTTCGCTGTGTTTTCCACGGGTCGATTCCACCCCTGTGCAGTAATCCAGCACACGCTGCTTGAGTCATTTCTGGCCTGATGGGTCTGCTCTGTGTGTAATATTTTTTATGTAACACATTTAGTTGGATGAAACTGAACTCCGTGCAGTGTGAAGAATATGAGTGTGCCTGTTGTTCATGACTCCATCCTTCTGTATTTCCTGTTCAGGCTCGGAGTTCAGCTTCTGGTCTTGGGGACTTACCATTCAAGATTACCTTTATGAAGTTGGACTGTGAAGTGTGATGCTCACGCTGTAGTTGACTTAGTAAGAATCCATACCTCTTGCAGAACAAATTCCTCTCTGTTAGGTACAGTTTTTAAATCAAACTGGGATGGTTGATCCTGCTTGGGTAATATGACTTCATTTAAGGGCTATCGCTTTCAGGTTATACTGATGCTTCGTGGGGAGGTGTGCTCGAGTGGAGTAGGAGGAAAGGGGAGCTTTAATAAGAAGATGCGTAAAGATTAAAATGAAATAGCTAGGTGGGAAGTGCTGTGCTGTACAGTTAGCCTTTAAATTACTGCTAGTCTTGGAAACGAGGTGCGTGGTTAGCTCTCTTCAGTAGGATTTCTGAGACAGTTGCGGTGTCTTTTTACTATACTATAGTTAGTGCCATGCCAAATGCAGACAAAGTGATAAAAAAGCGTTCTGGTGACAGCTCCATTGACAATGCAGGTTCATTCACAGCATTTCAAGGGAGGAGGGATAGCCAGTGACATGGCTCACTCATTTTTGCATTAATATGCTGGCTGGCCCTAGGTTGCTCATAACTTGCAGGAATGATAGGCGTAACGTTGCTAATGAATTTAAGGTATATCTCATGTTAAGAGATGGGATCTGAATTTGCGTATCTGAGATTAAGTTAATGCACAGTGTGTAGTTCTGTCCTTTGTCTGAAATGGGGCTCACGAAGTGCAGCAGGTAGACCTCTTTGCTTGTTTGGGTGTACTGGAGTTTCAAAAGCCTCTTGCAAAATTACAGTGAGCTCATGAAGAAGGTTCAGTTCTTCAGCAAAGGAGTTTATTGCAGAAGTGACCTTGGTGACCTAAGATATTAATGGGGAGCAATGTTCTCCTTCCTGTTGGTAAGCGGTCGGCTTTTTTTTATAGAAGTCAAACATAGCTGTGCGGTGGACACAAAGTGCTTATGGGGAACAGTGCATTTTATACGTGCTGTGCATGTGTGGAAGTGAGACCTTTTCAGTCCTGCCAAGGTCAGCACGACAGCGTGCTCCTCAAGTGCCGACTGCGCCAGTGGGCCCTGCCTGTACACGACTCCAACTTCTCCCTCTCAGATGGAAAATTTAAGACGTGTTCACATCAGAGATGGACCTAATTTGGGATAAGTCCATCTCCTTGGGTTTTTTTTGTCCATTCAGCTCCCAAGCAGAAATTTAAAGGAAGAAATATGCCTGTATGTATATAAGCTTGAGATGTTTCACACTGGCATCTGCTCCCCAAAGAAACAGTGCTGTGAATTTGAAGGAGAATGCATGTTGTAACTGAGATGAATGTGCCACCCTACCTTTTTTTTTCCAGACTATTCAAATCAAGGTGAGGAAATGAATGGAATAGCTACAAGAAGAGTAAGCTCTCTTTAATCTCTTTGGGAATGCAGTGCTGTACAACAAAGTAAAAGGCAGAGCTTGCTTCAATTTAACTTATCTTGATTTAAATAAGAAAATGCTGAGCTTTTATTTAAAACAGTTCTGGTACTAAAATGTAAGAAAAAATGAGAAAGTTTAATTTAGGAAATCCCACAGCAGACTTACTTGAATTCAAGTTGTTGCAGTGCAGGTATTTTTTTTTATTGTGTGTATGTTTCTCATTGCAGGTATTTTTTGATAGACTTAGAGGGCCCACCATCGATTGTGTCGACCATGATGGATCATTTAGGACGTGATATTGATATAATTAGACGTGGTTTTATAAAGCATCCCGTATCAAAGACAGAAGAATGCAGTGGCATAATCCCAGTCAACTATGAAGATAAACTAATTGCCAACAAAAAGTGAATATTCCAAATAGCATGTTTGAAACATTTGAAAATTTTTTTTATTCCTGCTTTGGAAAACAATTGTGGTAACTAATGTCCATCAAAAATAATCAGGTTTGGCCATGTTATGTGTGTGGTATAGTACACTATCTTAAGTTATTGTAACATTTGAGGTTTCTTTTTGTTTCAAAGAATTTGAATAGACTTAATCTGTATGCTTATCTTGGTATTTGACAACCTGAAAATTGATTTTCTTTTCTATTAGACCATTACATTGATACTGAAGATTTATCCATCATCAGAATGCTAAAAATAGCATTCTTTTCTAAAGACAGATTACTTCAGAATATGTATATTTACATAAGAGATTAAGAAGTCTACAGTGTAAATATAGCAGCATAGGATGTGATTTGTTTGATGGGTTTTTGCTTGGTTATGGAAAAAGGTAATAAAAGCATGATTAAAAATAAAACTTGACTCATTTTTTTAAAAGCAGAAAAGGTATGAGAAAAAATAACTTACACTGCCAAAAGGCACGTCATACTTCTTTCTTTAAGGTAATAACTCTGTTCAAAGTACAGGTAAAAACATATTCTCGATAGAAAAGGCCAGAAACTTCCAGGTGGCAGGTTGGAGAATAACCACGCAAAGAATAAAAGATATTTTGTTTTACCATCAGCTAGACCCAGGTGGATATTCCAAACTGAGAAAAACATCAGGACAAAGGTCTTAATGCATATTTTGTCTGTCTTTTGCTCTTGTAGAAACAGAAGAAACAGCAATGCCTGTGAAGGATGACATTAATGTAGTATGACCTCCTGCAGGTCAGACACAAATTCAGTAGTTTCTGGAGGATCTCCGTATTTCCCCCATGCTACTGAAGGAATGCACCAGCCATTTCTCCCAACTAAGGAGCACAAGTATGCATGTAATTTCTGGAGAAAAAAGTTGCCACAAATACGTTGTTAGGCAGAGAGGATGTTCTTTACCTGAATAACCTTCATCCAGAAGCTGCCTCCTCCGGCACTGCGGCGTTGTGCCTTGCCAAAAGGAAGGCCAGGCTGGAGGCCAAGGTCAGATTCCCAGAGACCTGTGACAAGCTGCTCTCTAGCGTGCTATTTCAGCACGAATTTGTCCTCTTTTGTGGAGATAGCAGGGTCACTTTTTTGGGGGGATGCTGGGTTGGGTTTTTTAGATACAGAACTTCAGGGGAGAAAGAAATGAGGAAATGAGCGTTTCTTCTGAGTATCTTCTCTTTTTTTAAGGAAAAAGTGAATTAGAAAAATAAAAGTGGAAATTTTCTTTCTGTACATCTTTATTTAGGAGACACGAATGCGTGTGTGTGTGTCGTTTTGGTGGGTGCCTCCCCCGTGGTTTTTCTCATCCTGTTTTTAAATCTGCTTTTCTTTTAAGAGCAGATTGCCACATTTTGTCTGTTCTTTACTGGAAAAAGATGTTGGGAGAATAGAGAGAATGCACTACACCCTTACTGAAGCTGGATCTATATTAGGTGTGCTTTTTATTTTTTTCTTTTTCTAGTTTCTGCCAGGTTTGATCGTGTGGTTGCTGCATGCACCGGTGCCTGCTCCAGGCAGAACTTTTCTCATCAATGATTTTTGCTGGTAGGACAGACCAACCTTCCGTACAGGCGTGAGCTCAGCCAGGATGAGCCGTAGGTTTCTAAGTCTGTGCTACAGGTTTGGCTCCCTGGGCTGCCCTTTCTGGTGAGCTGCTGAAAATTCAGGTTCGCAGCATGGAAAGTAGGGAAATAGGTTCAGGTTCCCTACAAGTAGGGAAATAGACAATGCTTTAAAGAATGTGTTTTACTCAAAAGTTTCTCAGAAGCTTTTCTTAAATAGAAGGTGAAGAGAAAGCCTATAGGTTAAAGTCACTTTGCCTCTGTCTAGGACTTTGGGCCTTAGATTTCATTTGAGTGGAAGGCAGAATTCAGCTTCACAAAATGAAGAAGATTGTCAACAGAGGCTGTACACATACAAATGTTGTATGTTTGTCTTTATTCAATTTCCTTTAGCGTAGTATTAAATTTTGCATTTAATTTGTTCCAATTTCTAGGTTGATGCCTGCATTCAGTAGGAAAATCCTAGATGCTCAATTAAAGATGAGCCCATTAGCTTATTATTAAATACGTAACATTATTTGTTGTGAATTAGGACCTTTGGTCAGTCAGACATTCATGCCTCTCTTTTCTGTGGGGCCATTTCTGATCTTAAGAGAAGATTGATGGACATCAAGAGCAGAAGACTTGGGCTCCTGAGTCCAGCTTATCCCAAGAGCAGATCAGCAGTAGCCTCAGCTGATCCCCGAAAAATACAGCAGTGCCGGCTCTGAAGGAAAGTGCTCTCTGGTAGGCCACAAAACAAGGCGTAAGGAGATGTTTTCCAGCCTGTTTTCCTGTCTTCTGAAGTACTGAATGTGCCAAAGGGAGTGACTGAAAGTCTTCTTTGCCTTTGGGATCGAAACACTGACCACTGAAACCAGCGGCCGCAAGCAGAGCCACGCTTGCCGGACTGGTGCGTGGTTACATAAGCACTGGTGCTTTCTCAGCAGCAGGATTTATTTATAAAAAGTCTGCTGAATAGCTGGCTCTCAACTGGATGTACTATTTTCTTCATAATTGATAGTTTCTAATATGAACATAATTTTTTTTTTTTTTTTAATAGGGGGTGGGGTAGGGGGAGGCTAAGGAAGGAGTCTTGGGTTGCAATTTGTTTAGCCCAGTCAGCCACCGAGACTGGTAGTCAGCTATTTCGGGAAGCTAATGCATAACAGCGTGCGCCTTCTCTCAATAGCTGTAAAGGCAGGAATGGACGCTGGAGTATATCAGAGGATTGGAGCAGTTCTGGGTTTGAGCAAACAGTCTGAGTTGTGCCACGGAAGAAAGCGAGTAACGATACCCTGAACGGTCATAAATCAGCCCTGCAGAAGAAGGGAAACCTTAGCACATCTTTCAGCTGTGTTTGCCTTTTTGATCGTTGCTGGCGGGTTTGTCCCATTGGGCTGTAAGCAACTCTTGATCTCCAAGAATAAAATTTCAGGATGCTCTGTGGTGTCGCTGGAGAGCCAGAAGAGTCCGTGCAGCCAAACCATGGCCAAATACCTACAGTGTCAAACTCCACTGGCGTTCCCAAAGGCCTAAACAGTTTGAATACCAGTACTTTAAATTTTGTTTACTAAAGAATCTGATAGTGAGCCTCTTCAACCCTTCCTTAGATTGTGTTCCCAAGTGTATGAAATAAGTAGTTTTATGCTCCTAGATACTCTGGGTTTCTTGTTTGTGGATTGTGGGGAAACACTGAGTTGGGTAAGTATTAAAATAACAACTGGCAGTTTTCCTGGCTCAGGAATGTTTTCTTCGTTTAACCTTCAGCAAACAAATGGGCACAAGTGGTTTTATGGTGAAGATCTTAGGTATGTCTTCAATCACGCCTTTTTCCTGATCTCTTTCTCAGTTGAATCTTGCACTCTGGAGGTTTCTTCAGCAGACTGAAGGCTCTGCACCATCAAAGCACTCAGCACTCTGCTTGCAAAGCACTCGGTGTGGCCGCTGGCTTGACCCCAGCAGGTTTGTGCATGCAGGGCTTTGCTGCCACTGACCCAGAGCCTGTGCCTCTTCCGTACTTCCAACTAGTCTGTCAAAATCCTATTTGTTGATAGTGCAAGCTTAAAAAATTTCAGGATCCTCGGTGTCAGCAGAATATTTCTGTCACTAAATGTTTTAATGGCACTCTGAAAATCATCTTTCAGCTGGACTTCTACTATGAGTAAACTGTTGGAGCTGAAGGCTGAGCTGGGTACAACACACACGCAGGGATGTATTGCTTTGGAAATCATCCGAGGAGCAGTTAGAATGGCAACAGTTGACATGACTTGTGGGCTCCTACTGTTGAATCTAGGCTTTGATCACTGAACCACATCACCTGTCACCTAATGAGATCAGTTTCTGTTTAATAAGTTGCTATGCTCTGTTATGAAGGAAGACTGAAATTTAAAGCAGTCCTCTTGGAGTCACAGAGATTTCTCTTAAGACGTGCCCAGCCTGCCGCATGGGATTCCTGCTCAGAGAGGCTCCTAGGATCTGTCCAGCACTGTCCGTGTCTCCAGCATAAATGTTCACGAATCATAAGGCAAACCCCCCCCCAGATAATTTGAACTTGTGGCCTGTAATCACAGCCTTAAAAATCATAAGCATTGTTTAAAATGTGAGGTTCTTTTTATTGACCTTTTAGATTTTATGATTCACTTTTTTCAAACTTTGTTGCTGGTGTGATTTTCACGTAACATCTGACTGAAGAGCTCTCGGGGGGAAAAACACAAGCTATAGCAAATGAGATGCTTGATAAATTCATTGGGACTGGTGCTGTGTTCCTCCACCCACTGAAACAGAACAAGGGAAATTAAAAAGGGAATCATTATTGTGTCCTTTCCTAGAATTCTGAGGTTCAGATAGGATAAAAGGGAGAATTGATGTGGAGCCAAAATGTGCATTTTCCCAGCTGCTGCACAAAGGGAAGATTAAAAATGTCTTGCTCTCCGTGACCTATGTAATGTGTTGCTTGCTTAGCGCTGCTTCAACAGACCTTTAAAACACGCCGGCTGCAGCTGGTGGACTACCTTAGGCTACTGCTGCTCCTCTTTGCACAGCTATTTGTGCGACGCTGCGGAGGAGTGGGAGAGTCACCACTTATTGAATGCTAGTTAAGAGGGGGAGTGATGCATTGACAGATTCCAGTTCTGAAGTATTCAAGGTTGCCTTCTAAAAGCATTTTTAATGGGAGGTAATGCTTGCTGTAAACCTGGGAGAGTTTTCGTCCCTGTTATTTTTGCGTTGTGCTTAGGCTGCCAAGCCAACCTTGTTTGGAGAATGTTAACTGGCACAGAGAGCCTGGCTTATTGAAATCTTCAACGCGTTTGTGTTGAGGATAGTTTTGGGGGATAGTGCGGCTCCACTGGATCAGTAAGAGGCTTCCGGCTGAGTTCTGTAGGAGCAGACGTATTCTGACAGTACAATGCGCTTTCTCCCAAGGGGAATCCTTTAGCCACCTTCGCAGGGTTTGCAGAGTTCTCAACTTTTGTTGATGAAGACTCACGTGACGCTTCCCTGCAGGGGCAGGTTGGAGCACCATGGAGAATGCCTAACATGTGCAGGTCTCTCGTGGAGCTTCTGACTCTGGTAACAAGGTAAGTTCAGTCTTCTGCTGAGGGCTGATGTGAAAGTCACATGCAGGGAGAAAAAGGCTTTAATTTTGAGTTTCCCATCACAATTCACCTTGGAAGCAGCAGTGGGGTGAGGCAGGGTGGAGAAGGCTCGTTGCATACTAAGTGTTCTTGCAGGCTGTCAGCTCCACTGTTTTTGTATGTGATGAGCAGAATGAAAATGTCATATATAATCCATTCCGTCTGTATGCATTGGTACCTGGGAGATATATGACTGAGGAAAATG